CCCCCCCCCCCGCCCCCCCGCGGCCTACATTATTAATCCCATCTGCACGCACGCCCTCCTTGCGCGCCTCTTTGTCCTCCCTGTTTTCTTCGTGTATAGACCCCCTCGATCTCCCCCCCCCTAAAAAAACAAAAACGTGGCTCAAGAAAATGATGTCTCCTCAAAAGGATAGACCGCATCAATCATCAATGGAAAGGCAATCCGTGCGGCACAGATCTTACGGACCGCGAGTGACTCAACAAAAATCGAAAAGATATATACGCATACGCATACGTGGGAAAACCGGGTCCGCCTCCCCCTGTAGGTGGCTTCTATCAACACGGAACATGTCGAGCCCAAAACCAAACTCACGTCACCCACGTAAACCTTCTCAGCAGTCCGGGGTACGCGATCTAAAGAGCTTGTCACTGTACCACCGCGCAAAGCACATACAGACAGGTGCTTTTGCTGGGTTCTCGGTGTGTGAACTGCTTGATAACTTTTGTCTTGAGACTCGAGCTCGAGACAAAACACGAACAAAACGCTCGGCCTACGGTCAGCATCTCGACTGCTGGTGCTGCTACACTTGCGAAAAAATATGAACAAAGATTACAAGAAAAAACGAAGAATCAATAATGGTATACATTCACTATATAGGCCAATCGAGACGGAAGGAGTATCGAAAATAAAATACTTCGCTGCGGAGTAACAACAATGAAAAACACACAGTAAAGCTCTACGACAAGCAGCCACAAAGAGGTACAGGCGCAACAGACAACAGGTAAGTATACAACGTCACATACGCGCTACACTATCGCTTCATGAACCGGTGGTTGGCTGGCCATCAACCGACCGAGTAAAACGAAATACAAAGAAAGAAGACGGGTTGTCGGCTCCCGGGGGCGTAAAAGACATGTACTGCTGTAGAAACTCGCTTCCTCCAATCACATGTCTAGATTCAATGCACGCTACTGCTGGACACGGTTGAATTCGGACACGCATCTATTCACCGGATCCACAGCCGGCGTCGACCTAAAACAAGGGGGAAGCAGCGGCGATTTTCATTCAAGGAAAGACCTGTCGTTTACTTAGCTCAAATTCCATCAACTCTTGCAACGCTCGAACCAAAACAAATAACGCGCACAAGACATATTGGAACTGCCGTAAGAACGTGTCTACGAGGAGTGAGAAGCAGCACAGCAGTACACACAAATAAATCACTACCCAAGCACAACAGATGCCCTCAAAAAGGCAACGGTAAATCCGTGCTGCCCCCCCGCCCGCCCGCCCGTCCGCCCGCGCGATGTATCAAGCACACCACAAGCAACGCCCAATCAGAGGCCGAGAATTAGCCAAGGCCGAGCTGCTCTGACATTTCCCCTCCCCGGTTTCACAACGCCCAATCTTTCATCCGAAACACCCGTTCTTGGCGGAGACAACCCCCCGGAAGAGCATGGCCGGAGGAACAAACTCCTTCGGTGTTTTTTTCTCTCTCCCGAATCCTTCCTTCGCGCATTCAACGTCAGTACCGACACACAAAGCACCTGGAGACGAAGAACGGTAAACATCCGCCAGAAAACGACAACACGGTGGTGGCGCTTCTTGCTCTCCCCACGAGACAAAGGCCTCACACACTCTTTCTCTAGTCTCTTACGACACCGGTAAAGTCTGGCTCGCGCGGTGGCATTCTCGGAGAGGCGACCGAGATCCACCAGCGCTGCTGCCCTCAACACGCTCCCCGCCTCCAGAATCGACCTTGCCGCTTCCGGATGGACTCCCGCCAGACGCCTTGGGGAGGTGCACATTCCTGCTCGCGTCGCTTCTGCTCCGCGACTCCTCCCGGGCGGGGCACCCGCCGATGCCGCCGCTCCATTCTGCGAACAGATCCCTGTCGCGGCCGCCGTAGGTAAAGCTTCGCGTCCGCCGGTCCCGCAGCCCTCCCCCGCCCCCGCCCCCCTCTCCCGCCAGGCTCAACGACGCCCACGTCACGATCGATAGCCCGGGCCCATCGCTCGTGGATCGCTCGTGAAGGAGCGACGGCGGCGGAACCGGGCCTGAGACGGGGCCCGCGGAGTACTCCGAGAAGGTTCTCGGGCGGTTGCTGACGGGGCTG